TGCTGGGGGTGGTGGTGCTGCATGGCGTGTTCGTGAAGTTCCGCTAGCTCGTGGTGCTGCATGGCCGCAAGGGACTTCCGCGTGCGGTAACCCCGATACTGGGCTTGAATCAGAGTGGCGGCCAAATTCGGATCAGGGGTAAAGTGGTGTCCACCCTGTAGAAACAGTGAGGGGCATGTTAAATAACGGCAAGGGCATTGGCGAAACTGCGAACGGCTGCATTGCGCCTGTAGCGCATCGGAGGACAAATTTACAATATTGCTGCGAATTCATGAAACATGCCAACATTCGCGAAAGGTTGATACTCACTCTCTAATCAGCATTGGGTAAGGTTGTCTTACTGATTATCGTATAGCCTATTCTTAAGGCATTCCAGTCACGATAGGATGCCGGCTTTTTAAAGAGCTTCTTTCTGACCGCTAACAAAAAGTATGTACTGTAAGAAATGGCTACATGAGTTGTATGCATTTTTATCTTTGATTTTGACTGTCTTTATAAATTCAAATATATTTTAGGGAAAACATACAAAAACCTTTTTCTTGTAGTCGTTTGTTTACAAATAATGCCTTCGTTAAATGTTATACTTAAAGAAAGGTTATCCTTCGGTTTTGGAAGAGTTTATTATTATGAGCTTTTTACGATTGTGAAGAGTTCATTCATAATACATCATATCCGTCAATTTATTAGTGCTGCCTTTACTGCATAAAATATATTCCACATCTATTTCAATATTTTATGAGAACTATGTGACTTCTTCCTCAAACCGTAGGCAAAAACGTACTTTTCCTGAAGGGCGATGTACACAGCGCGCAGTTTGTTAACCTTGAATTCAAGTGTAGCAGTCAGTAGTTTTCAAAATTATTCAGCGATTAAGAAATTTCTTTGAACCCGAAAGATACCCTTTCTTTAAGTATAAAATTTAAAGGAAGCGTAATTTGCTACCAAGCGAATCAAAGAAGGAATTTTTTGTGCACCTTTTCCATAAAGAGATGGGGCGGCCTCATAGGCGTCAAATCAAAAACCCCTAATTTTTGAAAATACTGTAAGTCCTTAGCTAGCTTTCATCGGATCCATAGTCTTAAAGGTAGTTGGTAAAGACACGCAAGTTATTTAACCTCTATGTCAGAGTTCGGCTTCAATTCTCTAATCGTAGATGTCTTTACATGCATTGTGAAACATCAGCACAAGTCTGTCTGCTTCAAGCGACAAGAGTTTTCGGCGAAGGAAAGCTCTAACAGAGACAAATGGTTGGTTTCGGTTGCTAGGATGCCAAACTCATGGGCGCCTCTTACAAAAATGTTATAGTTCCTGAAAAGTGAAGTAAAAATGTCTCCTGTTACCCTGATCTCCAAGTATTTATAGCGTCCCATCGCTTTCTTACCAAACGACTCGTTACGCGCGACCTCGCAGTCATCAAATTGCTGTGGTTGTTAACTGTTCACCTTCGTGCTTTTAGTAGCTTTGCAGCATATCGCATTTGAACTTCGGAATCCCAAGCTTTTCTATCCAATAACCTATCACCTATCATCGCAGTAAACATGCATTTTTTGGTATCCGGTTGAATCGAAGGCTAAGTTCTAAGACAGCAATAAAATCAGCGCACTTAACTATATCTGCAAATGACTTGCGGTCCCTAATATGTTATAGATTAAAACGTGGTATATCATTCCTTTTATTTTATTTTCCAGAAGAAACCGTCTTACCTAGCTTTCCAGGATGAGATAAAACAATTTGACATTTTTAAGAAACGGTTTTCTTGAAAAAGTCAAACTGATCACCACTTCCTTATTTTAAATACCATCTATTTATTAAGTGGTAAGCATTCAGGCTGCCATGGTTGGTTTGTCTAAAGTAAACAGCAGTAGTTAGCACTAGTTAAGCTCCCTTTTTCTCGTGACGAATAAAGCAATTAAAAGTTCCTTACTTGTCGGATGAACGAGCCAACTAGTTAAAGTTCGCAGCAAAAGTGCTGGAAATCCAACGCGAGACTTCAGGTCAGGGTCAACCCCAATGCTTGCACACAGGGGGAAGTCTCATGTGTTTCCGCTTAATGTACTGACAGGCCACTGGAAGTCTGGACTTATCAATGTCCCGTTAGGCGAACGAACTTTTTCAATTCATTCATCGACAGGCAAATAAAATAATATAAGGAGGGAGGTGACAAAATTTGCCTGATGATGAACTAATCGAAAACATTTGTTAGCTGAACTTGACTTCCTGAATGCGTACGTGGGTTCACTTGACCCAATTGAGAAAAATTCGAGGCCTCGGTGGGAGTCAACCCCACACAGCAGGAAAGGCTTTTTCGCAGCCAAAACTTCATGATTGAGCTACGAGCCTCACCGTGGGCCGTGAATTTACTCACACATGGATCGATTTTACCCGCCCAACTTATTGCTCGTATAGAATCCACCATTATGGAACAGCAAGCTGACTGCCTACGCAGGATTTCCTAAACAATCATTTAAAATCCGCCAGAAGGACTACTAGGCTCACTTAATTGTTAGGGAGGTTTGGCAGATTCGGTTAATTCAATTAAATTCACACCTCACGGTGAGCCTCATAGCTCAGTTGGCAGAGCTTTGGCTGCGCAAAAGCCTTTCGGGCTTTGTGGGTTAGACTCTCACCGAGGCCACGAGGTTTTAACAAAAGGGTCAACTGCATTAAGCAAATCTGCCAAACCCCCCTACCGCTTACATGGGTATTATCATCGCTGAACTTATTGATGTCTGTTGTGCTGTGCCTGTTCATCAAAGTCAACCTGGCAAATAAATCCCTATGTCCCACTTAGTGAGCACAACAGGAAGGTCAAAGACCTCCTCGCGTAGAAAGCACACTATTCTTTGCAGTAAATTTGTTTGCGTAGCCTAAAAGACAAAAAAGGTCACTGGAGGATAGTCTCGTTCATTTAGCCTCCCCGGCTTCAAGCTAACACCCATTGTAATCTCGAAAATCAATTCAGTTTAGTGCCAAGCCAAGGAGCTGTTAAAGCAATGGAGTAATTTTCAATTACCTGGCTGGCACCCTCCATAACGCTCATTTCTTGATTTCTTTGGCAGTTCCTAAAAAAATCAGAAATAAAATAGTTGTTTTAGCTTGGACACGCCTGTTTGAAAACCTGTGTCACGAAGGTCCCTCGGTAGAGTCTTTGGAGGGAATAGATTCAACTGACTATATCTCTGTTACGCATATAAAGGTGCTGAATAACATGAAGGAATAAAGCCAGATACCCATTTTATCCATCTAGCGAAATAGTGTTCGTGATTTCTGAACATGTGTTCTGACAAGTCGGTTACAACTTTTAGTGATCAATAAATATAACTCATAAAGTTTGGAAGTTGCAACCACCAGATATTTGACCTCCTGCGGTTATTTTTGTGTGCTCATTGGTATACGAAGCAATACCCGTCTGATTTAACTGCTCAAAAGTGCCAAGCAGTGGTTCAGCCTACTTTTACTGTGCACCAGAAAGCACATGGGGCATGTTGGGGAGCTAAGACTGAAGCAAACCCCTCGCATGTACGTCATACAGCGGCTCTCAAATCTTCTTCTTCCTCTCAATTTATGTTATATTAAAGACAGTCTGATTTTTACAAATTACTAAGACCCTTGTTCCAAAACCGCGTTGCTTAGACTGCACTCCTGAAAATATTCTGAATTGTGTGAAGAAGCGGAAGAAGGATCCGACGATTTTTTAGGGAGAATTGAATCCCACTTGGGGTCCAACGGACTTAAATAATAAATTACAATTTCAGTATTAATTTTGATGCGCCCTAGGTGACGCGTTCAGTGGAGAGGAGTCCTCCTCAGCGGTGAGGCGATCGTCACTGACAGTTACTAGGGTTGTTACGTCAAACCCAGTTGGTAGCCATACTATTTGGTTACGGTAGTTCGGTTTGTCTGACCTTATCTGGGGCAATTAAACACGTTGCGTTAACCGAATACGCATGCCAGCTCCGTCACTGCACCCGATCTAATCAGCTGTCTTCCTATAAGTTTGCGTGTAAAGAGACAAAATTAAAGTACGAAAAATGAGACCTTACAACTAGGGGCCATTCTTCGTATGCCAATCCGATTCATATCTTATCACACTTAATCTGATGGGCATGAAACTATCACGATACGCAGAATGCCGTGACTAGAAGGACTGCCAACGGAGGGGAAAACGCAGCTCCCTCCAGACCAAAATGATTGTGTTGCAAGTGGTTGCGTCTGCAAGGAGAAGGTTCCCTAAACTACATGTCATGTTATGCACAGCTTTACTGCAAGGAGATGAACTGTACAAAGGTTGTTTGGCGAGCCCGCTGCCAGCTATGTCTGCACGCCAGTTGTGTCCGTGAGGTTCTGCGTTGTTCTGTAGCTTAGCCTGCGTTGTAAGTACTCTGCCGTCTGCAGCCAATTAAATGAAGCGGGATTATCGATTGACTTTGAGCTTACACGCGTATCCAGCGGCGAGTCAATCGATAGCGTAAGAAAGGTCGATAACGCGCGGAGTGGATTATTTTTCGCAAGTGAATATTAGTCATGGCAGACGCGAGCAGGATAAGTTATCGCAGTAGCGTTGGGGGACAGACTCCTACAGATGCTCTTACTAGAGTCCTTATGAAACTCTCATTTATGTGCGGACCCCTGCTTCTTCGCCCAGACCTATTACGCATGGGAGTAGGGACTAGAGTGCGTGTTAGATACGTGGATTGGTCGTTGCCCCTCACTAGTCGCTGCGCCTACATTTTTTGCCGGCCTGCTTTTGGAACACCAAGCATTGAGAAAAGGGGACATCGTGTGAACGCAGCGTAGATCTGTTCCGTCATAAACAAAGTCACATACAAGATATAGCTACACACATCCTTCTGGGTAAAATCTGGTCCAAGATGTCTGCTTTTTTATGCCCGTGTTTAATCTGAAGTTGCTTCACCTTGCGGCGAAGAGGTGTAGGTCTCAGTACATTTGTAATGTTCCACCTCTGTTTTTCCGCGGCCAGGGTCATGATGGTTTATGCAAGACTACTTCAAACTACAGTGGACCCCCGGTTATCGAGTTTACTCCGTTTGGACGCCGATCTCGTCAACTGAAACGCTCGTATTTCATCAGTCCACTGATTAGTTGCAGCTGATCGAGGATCCACGCCCTGGGAGCAGTACTTAACGGCAGATACAGGCACACATACATGCATTGCCAGTTTGTTAACTGAGCGCAAGCTCGTCAATCGAAGCGCATTTTCTGCTAATGGCTCGTTCGTTACATGAAATGCTGGTAAATGGGG